ATAGATATGGAAAAAAGTAAAGATTCACTTTCTTTTAGGACTAGTATCCAAGATTATCAAATATATTGCTGATATTGATTTTGATAAATATAGTTTTTCATACAAAATACTGGATTTATTAAGTTTAGGGATTTCCTTTTGTATTTGATAAGAATAACAAAGACTTTTTAAGTAAAACTGTAATGTTCAAGAAGTGTAATCTTAAACCAAGGTTAATGGCTAGAAGTAATTCGATATTAAAAAGATTATATAATAGTGTGACGGAACTGACGGCTCTTTTGGACCTTCCTTTCACAGCTTAGAGCCCTAGCTCTATAGCTCTAGACCTAGGCATCTTACGCCTAGGACCCTTTTACCCTTTTGGGCCTAGCCCTTATGGCTCCCAATACCTGTTTATATAGTCCTCCTTTTAGCATCCTACATAGCTCTTCACTTGTAGATTCTAAGTACACAATCGGAGTCCTGTTTATACCCTTTTGGTCACATTATTATAGTAATCAATAATCTCTGCTGGACTTTCTTCTGTATACCTGGATTGATCTTTTTTGATATAATATTTTATATGTATATCAAAGTCCTTAAGAATTTTGAATAGATAGATATGATGATGTAGGTTATAATTGGATCTTGGGCAGAATAGTTTACCCAGATTATAAGTTTTTATATATGTCTTCAAAATCTGCTTTAAAGCAAGCAACTTAGTATAATGTAGACAATCAATAAATGAGCATAATAGAGAATTTGTATTAAAATCTTTGTTTACCTTTAATAAAGAATTTCTCTATTCCTTAAATAAAGAACTTTTGGTTGTGTTGTTTGAAGAGTCTTTAAGATCCATATCGTATAAAAAATCCAATGATGGCAAGTCCATAATTATATTTAATATAGGAATTTTGTTTGTATTGGATTTCTGATATATACTTTGATTATAACGAAAAAGCTTTTACTGATACTGGAAAGGGATAGAGTAATGTCTGTAATTCGAATTCTAACAATGATAATTTGTTATATCTTTCCCTATGCTTTGGCACGATTTTTGTAGGCTTCTGATCAAGTCTAATCGGGGCAATAAGTCATTTTCCTTCCTATAAAGCATACCAACTATACCTTGCTTCAAAAATGGTATAAACCATATTCTTATCATCTATTCAAAAAATATTTCTAAGGTATGTTTGTTAATTACATTCCTTTGTATGTTGTATAATTTTTTGATTTTGTTATTTATTTTCAGAGTATATCTTTTTGTTCTCGTATCTTCAATCTACTTCATCACCGCAAATAATCTTGGGTTTTTGGCGATGACTTTTATAAACTCCTTTATTATAAGATCTAATAGTGAACCGCGATTTGTATTTAGATTGTAAGCAAAGTTGATCTGTTGTATACATTATTCTTGCCCACGGGTTAGATTTTGTAAATCAATATCAGAATAAGAAGCAAAATAACTATTCTGAAAGATTTTATTATTGGAATATCCGAATATTTTGCCTCTTTCTGTAATGGTAACATACTCTAAATAAGTAAAAATATAAACAATAAAGGGAAAAATTAGGGGAAAAACTTACGATTTAGAATATTAGCTGAAATACATCTTATTACATAAAATGTAAAGATATCCTTAAAACCGATCCATTATACAAAATTCCTTATTGAATTGCTGAAAGCTTAGTAAGTCAATGCTTTGACTTTCTTGGATGATTTCATTATTCGATTATTCCGGAACAAAGGTATGTCCAAAATACTTTTTTTAAAAGAAATATCGATATACTTTGCAGTATATATCTTAGGATTATATAATTTCTCGATATTTTTCACATTTGCAAAAGTATCACAATAAAAGCTAAAGTAAGGAACAATATGACCAGACACATTTCCCTGGATATAAGATCTTCAAATATCTGTTGCTTGTAACTAGTATATATATCAAAGAACATATTTCAAATAAAAAATATATTATTTATACTTTTCCATTATCACCCTGCTCATTTTTTCTGAGAGTAAACATAAGCAAAAGGTTTATAAAAAGACAACCATTATTCGGATTTCGGAGCAAAATGAATTTGATATCCTTCGGAAAAAGTCAACTACAAAAGTTTTAAAAGAATCTAAACTTTATTATACCTTATACAATATAACTTGCCCAATCATATAATATATATGTAATTCAATAATAACACCGGGACATACAACAATATAGACAAGTATCAAGATTAATGAAGCAATCTAAATCCTAACTTGTTTATATACAAAATTAATCAGATTGTTCATCTATAAATAACTAAGTATATCTTGTAGATTGTTGAGATTAGCGATAGATTTTTGGATGGGTTTTTGTACTTAGACCAAGACTCTTTGCAAGAGTTGTTTTTTATAAATTAACAAATATCAACAAAACATTGATAAGAAAATTAATATTAAATAGATTTATAATACAAAGCTCATTCATCGATTCTAGCTTTTTATTATGCTTTCACTCATATATAGATTTCAATCGGATTGCATATTAAATCAATGTCTTGACAGAAAGATGGTCACTGAGCAAGCTAGTATGCTCTTTTGCAAGTATAGTAAAGTATCCTTTGATAATTTTCAAAATTGATTTCGAGCTAATATTACTAAATTATATAATATAGTTCAATAAAGAAAGGTTAGTATACTAATGTTGAAAAAGCTTAATATCATAACTCACTTCTCCTATAACTTCCAGATTATATTATAACTATATAACATTGGAGTGATATTAGATAACGGTTTTTTTGTGTAATTCTCATTTTCAAGATTTGCAAACAGTTCTTTAAGTCTCAGATTTTGTGTTATTTTCGAGATAAATGTTAAGATGTAAAAGAAGGGAAATTGATTGAGAATATCAATTCAATATTGAAATATAATGATAAAATAATGATAGATATTATAAAAAAGAAAAAGAGAGAAAATATATTATATACTTATAGTAATTAGAGTATAATATATCAAATTCTAATACGGTTTTTGCTAAAGTTGGTTAATTAGTTATAGATACGAATGTCCGTTCCCTGTTCTAAGGATTTCGAAAAGGGTTACCGAATTCCTACCCTGGCATAAACTGTGTCGCAAAAAGTTAATCACAACAGTATATAGTCTTCGGGACCGAGTAAAATGAAATCAGTGAAATACGAAACGATTTACAGAATTCGAACCACCGTTTTTGAGGCGGCGTTGACAAGCAAAAAAGAAATCCCACAAAGCGTGGTCTTATACCACTAAACCACAACACCACGTGACTTTAATCCATTTTGCCCGGTCGAGCGAAGAATTTATCGAGCACTCAAATATCAAAGTATATAAAGAAAATTAATATATAAAAATAACTTAATAACCAAGTCAATTGTCATTTACAACTTAAATCTTCATTTAATGAAGCTTTCGATATAACGGTAAATAACATATCTTAATTATTTTATCAAAATTCAGAAAAGATCTTAAATATATTTGGGTGCATTTCTACCCGTGACCGTAACAGTTGGTAGGTGCACACCCACTTTTACTAGACTGAATCATAAGCTTTATCTCAGTGCATATGAATTTCCGATAAAGAAATAGTATGGAGAAACATCATAAACATTATCATCGTTGCCATCAACCAAAACCAACAATGTCGAATCCAGACCCAGAACCAGATCCATCTTATACAGTATTCATAAGATTACCATTCCCACGTGGTGATTTTGTTGATCCTCCAGATGTATGATTGACTCTCATGGATTAAAAACATTGTACTGACCTCTGTAGGTGGAATGGGATGCAGCAAAGGATAAGGCGTTATGGAAGATACTGTCCAAAGCTTCTAAGAATAGTGATATTGATTGTAAGTTTCCGAATTAATCATAGATATCATTATGCTAACAGATACAGGGACTGCATTGTAGGTTTCAAGTGCACATTTTAATATCTAATCTAATTCAATCGCAGAGCTACGAAATTCGAAGTTACCCTTGCATTCCTTCTTCAACAAGCAGCATGGCTTTACGAACGACAACTTTCGCAAGTTCGCGCGCAGATGAGAAAGGTGACGGTATCGAAAGGTTCTTTGGCTCCGTCACCAGTTCCAGGCAGTACATCGGAAACAGTAGGTGGTGAAGGAATGAAGAGGACAGGATCTGGAGGTGGAGGTAAGTTGGCACATGCGACCACATCTATCGAGTGACTGCTCATTATCTGCAGGTCCAAGGATTCAATCCTCCCTATCGAATAGAAAAGATGTCTCTCTGTCGAAGATTGATGGGAGCGTACCAAATACACCGAACCGCACAATGGGTATGAACCCTTATATTAGCTATATAACGTATCTAACGTCAATCAGCTCCACCGTTTTCCCGCACCTCGTCTCGGGAAACAACAGTACAATCCCGTACATTCGTACCAACAAGTCCACGACCAAGCCATGCGACCACAAATCGACGATCGCTCTCTCCAAAACCACAATCACGACCGGCTTCAATGGCAATCGACCATCCACCCCGAAACTCCCCCCAACAAACACAACTTTCCTCGCCCTCCGACTCTTCTGATGACGATGCGCTACCACTGCAATCAAGACTTCTCCGCCGACGCTTCCCCTCCATCAAGAAAACAGCCGAAGGTCCCTCATCTGACGACGATGGACCCGCCTTTCTTCCCACACCCCACGATCCATCTGCCACCCTCCGTGGAGACCCCCGCAATATGTCACGACGCACACCACTCCACCCCAGGAAACCAGTCCCAATCGAATCACAAACTTCAGATTCCTCTACGAGTTCCACGGCCCAAATTGTCAACAAAAGATACGACTCTGTAAGCGTTGCCGGGAGACGACCACCCGCCGGTCCATTGAGTCCGCGCCGAACCACCGAGTTACAAAGTGAGAGAAGTGATGGAGGAACACCAAGTATGGGTAGTAGTTTTAGTGATTTGGATGGTCTGTCTTCCCCGTTCATCTTAAGTTACAAGCCATAAGGCATATCCTATTCTTTGTTTATTGTTTCTCTCGTCTGTAGTTATCATCGATACCCACTTCCTTTCTTAAATTCTAATTGCATGGCTTCTTTTTTTTTAATCTTTTGTACTAAACTGATTTTGAGCGAGTGACGAACACAAAGCTAATTTCGAACACTAATAGACGCATCCGTAACACAAAGTGCACTAGAAGAGGCACTCGCGAGTAACATGCAAGCAGGTGGCATGGCTAGTAGAATGAGTACCATTAGTCAAGCTCTACGGAGTAGATATCTCTAATCCCGAATCTATGTCGCGGAATCTTTCTTTTCTTGATCTTACAATATTTATGGACTTCAAATGGATATACCTAGTGGATAGGATTGGGAACAGGTATCAATATGGAAACCTAGGTAGAAATGGTCAGGAACAATCTTGGTATAGGTGGGTTGGATGGGAAGGAACGCACTTGGATTATTGATCGGTTGGATTGGGTTTGGGGTTTTTATTTACTATCGTAGTTTCTTGTAATGCTCATTATATGCTTCTTTTCTCCTTTCTTATATGAGTATACTCGAGTAGGGACTTTTTTTACGGGGTGGGATAATGGATACTGGGTAATAGATACTGAGTCTGGATACTGGATAATGGATGGACTTTCTTTCTTGCTTCCTGCCTTCTGAGTGAGAAAGGAAGGAAGAAAAAAAGTAGGAAGGAAAGGAGGAAGGAACAACGCATTCGATAAGTTACTCAAGTAATTCTATCATAATACCATAAACCTACCAATACATACATACATACATAAATAAATACATACATACCTCCCGGTAGCGTTAGCTATACTTAGCTAGATTCAAATCGATTATGAACTTACCACTACTACTCGTATATCATACCTTATACATCAACTCAATTTCAATTCAATTCATTCTCAGAAAAACCAGATCAACTCAAATATAGAATATAGGATATGGGATATAGGATATAGGATATAGGATATAAAAAGAAATGTTAGGGAGTCTTGTGTTATCTTGTCTTGTCTTGTCTTGTCTAATCATATCTTTTTCTTTCTTTTCTCTCCTTCTTTAGGTTTTTCCCTCGAATTGTATCTATACCTATACCTACCTATATATATACCTGACTGAACCTGAATCTGAACCTGCACCTAAATCCGAGAATTCGGGATTTAAGATTCCAATAAGAGGGAAGAGAGAAGAGAAGAAGAGAATGATCATGATTACTGAGGAGTAGTTAAGTTAGTTAGTTACCTGCCAGTGATAGGAGTGATCAATAACCTACTTTATATACTTCTTAGGCCATCCATCCATCATGCCTTCATGCCCTCATGATATGATTGATATATATGAGTGGTATCTTGGTGTCTGTCTCATCACTATATGTAGTTCCTACCAACCCTTTTTTGTTTTATATTCATGCTGGTAGGTATACCATACATATATCCCATACCAGTTGGCATATTATTATTCACTTTACTTCATTTCCCTCCTCTATACTTTATATAACCAACAATATCGTAAATAGATAGAAACTATGAAGTTTTGATTTAGATTAACCAATTAGATTTAGATTAATTCTTGAAGTAGCATAATATGCATAATATCACATACAACATGTTACCGATATCACGTACGCTCGAGGGAGACGAGTGTATTGTATAATTTTCTGTTTTTATTCTAATATGCTACTACTGTAGTATTATCCCAATAAATCCACAAAGTAGGATATTCAAGATCTTGCTTGATAAATCTTTTTACGAATATTCTACTCCAATATTTCAGTTCAGTCTTCCTCAAAATTGAAAAGAATGTAACATGATTAGGAGATTCCAAATCACATTCCGCCTTATTTGATAACCCCGTCGGCCAAAGGGATGATAATCCCTCAAAACCACATATTGGGATCGGCAGTATTATCCAACTTCTTTCATATATCCATAATAAAGATGTTACCACATCCACGGCTCTTTCCTGAGTGTACTATCCTCGAATGGATCCTCATCAACATATCCCTGCTCCTCATGAGATTCTACGGCTCCAGCTTCCAAGGCTCCCAAAAGTGACGTGCGTTCCTCCGCATTGACAAGAGACCTCTCCTCTCTCACGGGAGATACCCATCCCGACCCCGAACCCGATGTCAATTCCGATGTCGCGATTTTCCCAGAGTCATCGGTTGCCCATTGAGCAGCCAAAGAAGCCTGATGTATTTTATCCGCTTCTGTCAATTTCGGCTTGACGAGTAACTTCCTGTTTCTATTCTTATACGCTTGTACCTGTACCTCCTTATGTAGAATCCCCTCACTTCCCACATAAGTATGTAAAAAGTTACATTGTTTATCACTAGCGAGACATGTGCTCTGATGCCAAAAGAAACACGTGAATCGTTTTCCAACCATGGTAGAAGGGTCACGAGCAGACTTGTGTGATTCGCCAGAGAGAAAAGAGGGAATCGCATGGACGACGTCGAAAAGGGGTCCAGGATTGGGTTTGCCGTATCGTACGTTGGTTTGGAGGGTAAATTCGCGATCTTCGTGGAGGTCGCGACATTGCTCTTCGAGGTAACGACAGCGATCTCCAAATTCCCAAAAGCTAAGACAGATATGTTAGTGATGTTTCTTGTGAAGTGAGAGTGCGGTGCACCTGAAATAGATAGGGATATGAAATTTGAAAGCTTCTCCAGAATAGAGTGATGATAAAAAGAGGTCACTTACTAACAGACTTCCGTCTTTGGAACAACGATTTCGTAGGCCGGTTTACGGAGCAACTCTCTGGTGGGTTTTCGTGGCATAATACCCTCGTTTGGTAAACTATTTTTTGATTTGCTGGGACGATATTCCGTGATTTGGCAGTTCTATCATGAAGTATTAATTTGTGCTGCAGACAAAGATTCTGATGATCGAGGAATCCGAGGGGAAAGATTGTGTGTTGCGTATCATGTAAACTAGGTGGTGGAAGCGAAAGGTGGTATTAACCTTAAATAGTGCACGTAACCGAGACTATAGAATATCTTTTTTTTCCCACTTGACCATGATAGTATACTTTAATGATAGCCTCGGGCAGATGGAGACTAACGTGTAGTCAATATCACCAGGAAAGACGTTTCACAAAGTAACTCATACCTTTCTAGGCGATCATGATCTCCTGTAGAAGTACCAACTTTCACACATCTCACTGGAAAAGAAAAAGCAAAGGGGCAGTCTGTAAAAGAAAACTAACCTTATTATCATCCATTGCATCTTTTGAGCTTTGCAACCCGACTACGGCTCCATTCTGTCTATCTTTTTGACTGGAAACTGTAGACGCCATTTCAGAGCTCTCACTGACGCTTTGGTGATCAATATCAGCTAGAGCGGCAAATCTAGAACTACGTGGACGACCTACTCGCTGCCTAGCTGTGCCGTTATTTGATGTACTTTGTGGCTCAGTCGGTGTCGATTGAACATCGTCATCATCCTCCCACTAAGAGTATTATTAGTATTGGTAGTCTTATGAGTATATGTGCAAATTATGAGTGCGCAACGCATTGAAAAGCAGAGATAGTCAAACAGTATGTCGGATTAAACTTACTTCCGCAGCATTACTTCTCTCTAATGCATCCATTGAAAAGCCATCATCTTTCTTCGTATTTGTTTTACTACCGTCGAATATCTTACTGGTGGCATCGATGCTGTTGAAGATCAAGGCAAGATTGAAGTGGCCAGAACGGCCGGTCCTCTTATTGATTCCCCGATATTCATTGCCCGAAACATGTTTGATGACATCGATCCAATTGCCACAATCAATCTCGAGCTTGGCAGAATCCCCTGGTAGTGGTTTGAAACTTTTTGTTGCCATGAAAGATTTGCCCAGATAGGCGGATGAGTCCGTCTTCGTGACTCGTGGCCCAGGAGCAGCTGATGAGAAGGAAACAGAACGGGGATTTGATTTCCTGGGGGCAACAGGAGCATTGGTGCCTGGGTTTGCTAGCCAAAACGGGTTAAATTCAGGGTTGTAAGGTTGGTAGTAGTCCGTAATTGCCTTTGGAGCGTGTCCAAAATGCTGCGTGAACAGACCAATACGGTGTTCGATCTCAGCTTGAGACAATTTCAAATTCGGCTGAGCTTTCTGTGGCTGCGATGGACTTCTCCGACTACATGCCGATACCTTGTATTTTATGGCTGAGCTTGCTGAAAGGGGGCTTTCGGGAGTGACTACATGTTTGGTAGTTTCTTCGTTCACCTCCGATGCCCAGTCACTAATCCCCCCGATGCTCTTACGAAATGATCTTGCTTCATCAAGCTGTGCCTGTGTGACGCCTGCTGGTAATGTTGATGAAAGTTCATTACCACGTGTTTCCTTGGATATACTTCTCACGGATTGGTCGGGTTCCTCCGGAGTCTGCTCATTGTTGATATAAACTGGCTCACCAATAATGGCTGGCAAGGTGGCCTCATCTTCCGTGCAAATATCTTCATTGAATGAAGATGCGAAAGTATTATACTCTCCCTGTTGGCTTATACACGTAGGGGACCTTTCGTGTTGGGAGTCTGGTGGAGTAATCTCAGCTTCCAATACCCTGTTGTTCCCGCTCACAGTGTCTTCTGTAGATATATCAATCGATGGAACCGAGACGATTGCTTCTCTTGGCTTGTTCTGAGGGAACTCGTCGAATACCAACAGTGGTTCATCGGCTTCGCTCTGAGGGAAAGCTCCTGCGTCGTTCTTCGTTGAGTGTATTCTGGGATCTAAATAGTCGACAATGTTGAGAGGTGGAGTCTGTGGCCCATTTGTGAAGACATATTTCCCCTTATGAAGTAGAGCATCTAGCTTCACCCATTCTTCCTCTGTGAAATAACCGGCACCGTAGAGTATGCATGAGCCCTGAGATTGAGAAAACATTAGCTTGGAAACGAATTTCTGGACATTATCAATTTATCATTGCGAAATAATCGAGCATCCAATTGGGTCCGCGATAGTCAGAATGAACAACAATATAGACATATGGCTTACCCTCTCAGCATACTCCAGCCCCTTCGCAGCAAATGTTGACAGCGCCATGTTGCTTAAATGCGAGGCCCGATATATGTTATCATAAGGTTTCCTTGATCGAACGAAGGAATGGAATGAAAATCCTTTCGTAACTTGTACAGCGACGAATATGAGGGTGAAAAGCTGGCAAGAAGATCTCTTCACAAAACTTCAAGAGAGAAACAGAAACAGTGAAACCTCCCAGGAGCCAAAGAAGAGATCAACTTACTAGTGGTCATGTATGAATAATAATTAATGTTGCTTCAAAAGCTCATGCTAGCTAGTTTAGAATGAAGCCAACGTGAACCCATGTTTAGTTAGGTCCTGCGTACCACTTAAAAATTGCTGGGCCTTCCCTCTTCATTATGATAGGGAAGATGGGGGGGGGCTTCCTGCAATAACCTGCAAGGACCTGCATTTGGAATACATGGAAGTGAGGAGAAATATGTGTTGAGTGAGGGGTTGAGGGAGTTAGTGTCACAGATAGGCGGCGGCGGCCACCGTAGAAAAGCGTGATAAGGATATCAAAAGAACAACCAATTGAGATGATTTACTCATCTCATCAAATTTACCGAAAAATTTAATATAGAAATGTGATTAAAACCCCCCGATGGCAAGCAGAAACATTAGAGATACTGTGTGAGAGAAAATGTAAGTTCCCTCCCTTCCTTTGACAGCTTCCTGCACCACTCTAGAACTGCGTCCTTTTAAAGAACACACAATGCTATCTTAGTCTTAGATAGGTTGACATGCCACCTGAGTGTAACCATACCTGCATACTAGTAGCTTCAATCATCAATTGGTGTTGCCTTTTGACACAATTTTCGCTCCATGAAGGGTAGCAGTGACACACTCAACGGGGGTAGCGGTAGCGGTAGCGGTGGCGGAAAGGTCACATGATCATCTCTCTCCTTTCACTGAACACATGCACCTTGGTTTGGTTTGGTCTCAGTATTTCTCAACAAAATGCTTGAAATAAACAAACGGATGTGTACTATAGCTTGTATCTAAAGATAAGATTATACACATTTTTGAATATCAGATCACAACCAACAATCTATCAAAGTTTCAAAGTTTCAAAGCCAATATTGGGGAACAACCATGAGCCAGCTGGGCCCATCAGCAAATGCCTGATGCCAATGACTCCAGGATGACAACGAACTGGGTGCCAAAAACTTTCTACTCGAAACAAAATAGGGATCCACAGGTAGCATCACTCAAGATATAGAGGGATACTAGGATGGTGATAGTCATTAAGGTAACAATGAGTAAGCTATTGGATGTAGCCAAGAAAACAATACACATCAGTCTCAATCGGTGATCTTCATGCTCAACTCAGTCTTTGTATTTAATTCCTTGTTGCATGCCACACTTCTGTGAATGTTATCTTATTTGAACCAATACTCAATGCTTCGGAAAGCATGTGGAGATGGAAATGTTCTGGAACATGTTGTAACTGAAACTCGAGATTGTACATTGTATCATTCCCGATCCTGGTACCTTTAAGGAATCCTTTGAAAGACCATTATTGATATTCGGCAACCGGTGCTGGCTCTAAACAGAGGGACTTCGAGAGGATCGTGGTGAATAGCAGTGGCCGTTATCGATGAGTGTTGGGGAATGTTAGTCGAGGCCTAGGGGCCGTAACTCAGTCACCTCAGATTGCATTGCCGAAGATGGAGTAGGGACACGATGCTATTCAGAACGATGCCTTAGATTGTGCTCGTGCATAGGCGTTGGAAAATTGTCAGTAAGCAGCGAAGGAAAGCTTTTGCTGTTTTGCAGGTCGTGGATCCATATCGTTCTCGTTATCGCTGTCAATCTCAATCTCGGCGGGATGCCACCGCTTCTTTCCTTTTTTCTTACTATCACCTTCATTCCCCCTATCGCCCCTACTACTTCCCGTTGCTGCTCATACTCTCAGAACTCGCTCTCTTCTTGCAAAAGAAGTGGAGATCCATATTTGAGCTCTTCTAATCTGCAATGGCTGGAAGTGCTCTGATCATATTCCCCATCAGGATGCGATGGCTGAGCAGATATAGATGTGGGGATAAGGAAGCGGTAGCCAACAACTCGTCTTGCTTATCGAATACTGGAAACAAGCCTACTTCATATCCAAAGGCACTCTTATTTTCTCCGTCGTCCTTGCCCAATATAACAGAGGAAGAGTGGTGTGAGGATACCTCGGACATGCTTTGCGCGATTTCATTATCACCATATAAGTTGATCTCGTTCTGTAAAGATCGAGGGGAGTGATGGCAAGAGTGAAGTTGGTCCTGGGCGGGTGTACAAGCTGAGCCTTCTCGCAATGGGCAGATGTTGTCTTACTTCTCAAAGTCATCGTTTTTGATATTGTACCATGCTTCATGGCCAGCGGCATAAATTTCCTTGTTCAGGCCGAGAACAGAAGTTGATGCAAAATCGGAAGCGTACGACTCGCCTCTTCGAATATCATTGGCCTATCTGTATAAGGTCAGGAGACTGTTTATCATAGCGATCAAAAAACCATTACATATACCTTGAGTGCCCCAGCTATCCTGAAGTCTTTCCATCGATATTGCCTAGCGCGAAAGGATCGCTTCCATGATGAAAGCCGCCGCCATTTTGCCCAAAGCCATCTTATCCTCTCGGATGATGTTTCCCAGAATCAAGTCCTCCGATCCAACGTACTTTTGTAGTGTGGTATATTGTAGTTCTCTGGTTGTCGGAAATTTAAGGTCGTTATTGCTATAGCAGCCAGAATCGATTGATGTTCGGATTCTCACAAATCAGTTACGATCGTTGAAAGCCATATCTCTCAAAATTCGAACTTACCTAGAATTTCTGGTCTGTAACATTCATCATAAGCTGTTGCTACGGCTGCTGTTATTCGCGTGCTATCAACTTCTATATCACTCGGCATGAATTGTTTCTGTGTAGGTCCATAACGAGGCATTGTGCTTTTGAGGCGCGGAGCAGTTGGGACATAATTATATGGAACAGCGTTGACCATGGCCATCTCGAGTATGTGAAAATGATCGGTTAGTAAACCATCTGCTATTTGAATACAATTGAACAGCAAAAATAAAGGTAGAAATAAGGAGAATGGAGGGGTTCAAGCCCTACAGGCACCTCAGGAAGGTAATTTACCCACCAATGGGTTATTATTGTATTAAATCATACATTGAAGTGCAATGAGATATACTGAGATCTTATATTGAGATCTGAAATCATGATTTTCATTCAAATCAACTTGAATGGTTTCAATGCTTTCAATATTCAGTAAGTTAGTTTGAATGGTTTCAATCGTTTATATAAACGATTAAGGGTTAGTGACAACAAGGGTGCGACAATGAGATTCAAAATAAGGAGAGGAGAGGGCTAGGGAGGAGAGGAAGGGTCAGGGAGACCAGGAAGGGCCAGGGAGGTTAGGGAGGCTAGGGAAAAAGGGGGTAACAATTGAAAGACCCAAGAAAAAGTAGTCATCGATATCGGAGGCCTTTTTATCAAATCTCAATATATATGCTAAAAAGCACACTTGCAAAAAATGGCCGATTTACCCTTTTTAGGAGGGTTATTTACCCTTCTGAAGAGGGTTATGCAGTTGTGGCGAGGCCAATGTAAGAGGAAATGTGAAGTGGGTCGATACTAAGGAAGCTTACAAGTTACGACGCATGGCGAGTTTGAATGATCAGACGAGGAAGTGGTGGAGGGGAATTGAAGAGGAAGAAGGCGGCTGAGAGGGGGAGCGCGATTCTTATAGATGTTGAAAGTGTCGACTGGCTGGCACGTGCACGAGCCTTGCCTAATGCAAATGCAACGGCCACTGGGGAGAAGGGAGGGATTATCTAAAGTTCTGAGCATCCTGAGTGGGTACTACCTAGGTAGGTATGTACACCATGGTTGAGAACGACAATAGGGAAATGTTGTGGAGACGCAACTACCGTATTCTTTTGGTAAACTACTCGGTATGCAAGTGCAGGGCTTAAGATTTAAGGTTAAACTGACAAGTCTTAGTATTGATTCAGATCTGTATAGTAAAGATGTTGTATTGTATTAGTTAAGGCTATTCCCTATATGGACGCGAAATTGCGAATGCCTAGCGCATGACCGTGTGACCATACTCGCTTACATCTCAACAGTTATACATATATGTATATAGTATATACCTATAATGCGGGGTTTTCTATCACCTTCCAGACTCTAACTCCCTTCGCTTTACCACTTTCTACCACCCCTCCACTATCTAATCTCCCCCTCCTCCACTTCATGATTCACCTCCTCTCCTTATCATCTTATTATTATCTTCTACAAATAATATTGAAATATTAGTAATAATAAGGTTCAATTTTAAATAGGATCGTTTCTAGCGCAAGCTGATCACTTTGATAAATTCTCTTCTTTTATTATGTAATACGAAAATTAATTCTATTCATTCACCTAATATCTGTATGAGACTGTGCCGTATTATGCCCCACATACTAGACAATCTGTATCAGAATTGTTATTTTATAGTCTTCCAAAATCTTCAACAACTTTCTTCCTGGGTTCTTTCTGTCCACCCGGAGTTCAGCCTATTTGCAACATTAAGCATTTGATCAATAAAAACCATATCTATTTTCATTTGAAAGAGAACTTTTAAACAGTAAGTACAAACTGGCAAACACAATTTCAATTAGTTTCAAAATATACAAAGTTTTATCCATTCCACATCTATCAAAAATGGACTTCCATCACCCCTCTTCAGAGTCAGAGTTGAGAATTGTCACTAACAATGAAGAAGAACTCGAAGATATGCCAGGCATGACGGAGGCCATAATTGGTATGAATACCACAAACCAGGCAGCTTATGTTAAAGAGCGTGCCGAAATCCGAGCAAAGCATGCTGAAGAGCTTGCTGCAAAGGAAGCAAAGCATGCTGAAGAGAAGTTGTTTGTTATCGTCATTGCAGTTGCAGTTGTTGCAGTTGCAGTTGTTGCAGTTGCAGTTGTTGCAGTTGTAGTTTGTGTTTTTCTCACACGAACTATCAAGGTGAATCTTCTTCAAAACGATCAGAATGCAGCTAACTCTTACGTTTTCTTTTTTGAAAAAGCAGCTATAAGCTTTCTGAGCTCCTTCATATTCAGCTACAATTAGACTAAGAATAAGCCATTGCCGTCAACTCTCAATCCTCCGCATTTTCGGTTTCGCACTATCCACAATCGATTTAAGACTCGAGCTTTGCTTCTCGAATACGCAATGTTTAATTGGGTTAGTCAAAGATAGTAGCTTGCGTTCTTTGGGCTGTGTGGCATATGAGAATTCTATGTTGTGGTGCCAGTGGAGTAACGGGGTGGATAAAGTATGAGGGTTATGGAGTTTTGCATAGGGAATTCCATCCGGGAATCTCAAGATTAAGGACATATACAACCAAACAATACTCTCATCTTCAATGCAAAATTCGGTTCTTTCCTCTTATATTCGTTTCTTGGTGATTTTAAAAGGTATTTACTCTAATCTATGCATATATTCCCTTCAAAATGTTTGCCATAACTTTTCTGAGGAAGTACGCTTTGCAAGGCTACAACTTTGTCTTCCTAGAACCCTTCAGTGGCACTGAAGTGAAGGGCCTTCACTACATTGATCTCCAAATACACAAGAAACAATATACTTTATTTTATTGGTTTTGGTCTTTTTGACAAGACAGATATCATAGTAAAAGGACTTGAAGGCTGAGGCTGAGGCTGTTTGCTATTACAAAGGGAAAAAGGAGATGAGATGAGATGAGATGACGAAAGAAAAGTATATCTGAGGTAAAGCGAGGTAAAATATAATGACGCTCCGGCGCTGGCCCTCCGGGGGCCACTGCCGTGGAGGCAGACTATTTGATTAGAAAGAAGTTTGTAAATACTTATGTTTCCGAACATAATCCCATCCATTCCCATCTTGCGCCGTAGTAGTAGTAGTAGTAGTAGTCGAAGCTATCGAGAAGTGTACTCGAGTATACCTTGAGGCCTACACTAGTATTTTGCTGGTGAAAAAATTAATATTTGTAAGCCTTGTTACGAATTTCCGGGAAGTAAAGCGCTGACTGATGTAAATATAGGAAAGTTACTATGGGCTTCAGCTGCACTGATAATATTTTGAAAGATACTCAGAATGTGGGTTTGCATTTTTGATTGTGGGAGATCTTTTGGGTTCGTTCTATACTGTTCCCTTCATGACTATGCCCTGTTGTTTTCAGAAGATGGATGTTGACACAAAGATTCGGAACTACAACCTACACCGATCTCGTCCTCCACGCCCGTTTTCTAAATGTCCAAAACTCCGCCAACCCTAATGCCTCAATTAATTATGTCTGCCATTGGTGCTACCAGCCTCCAGCTTTACAATTTTGAACAAACGGTCTCTATAATCTTCACTGAGAACTGGAAGCCTGTTTCCTTTCACGATCGTATTTTGGAAGATGGAGGCGGTTCTTTTTGAGAAGATGGTGTCTGCAAACAAAAGGGACGAGGAACGTTCTTGGCATGAACGTAGGCTAAAAGTTCCGGTCATTCCTCCTTTTTTTATATGACAGAAAAGAGCACGGATCAAAAAGCGTGGATAGATAATACGTCTATCCAGTTATCCGTCATATATTCCGTGGTTCTTACAAGGCCTCTATTGGCGTTCAAGCCTAAAGATAATGAATGATTTCAAAATAAGGTCTCGAAGCTATCCCCACTTTCGCTTAAGTCTACTACCCCCCCTTTCGGACCACCCTTCTACACTAAAAACCGTGATATTTTGACTTCTGCAATTTTTTATTTAGCCCATGTAATTAAAGGAAGTTTTAATGATAGATTCATTATATAGTTATTGGCTTTTACGTAGATTTTCAGAATTTTGGCGATTTTCTATAAAAAGTTATTAAAGCTTGGAATATGAATTTTGATACAAAATCATACAGAATTCAAAATATTCAAAAAATACGAATTACCTTGTGATAAAAATAACCATAAAGGAACTCGTAATCTTTAAATAATATTTGAAAACTCATAGTTTTAGAAAACTAGTTTATTTTGAATAATAATCAGTAATTTATCATTTATCATTTAAATGTTTGTTTCTGGATAATCAATGGAATGCTACGGATAAAGCCTTTTATGTGATTGGCTAGAATGGAAAGCTTATCTCTTTATAGCCTAGCTCTATATCATGGCTCTTATCCCCGCTGATGATTCCTCTCCTCGTCCGCATTCCCATCGATTTGGGCCCTCGTCTAGTTGATTTCATTTGGATGAATTTACAATACTTAGCACTCTGCCATTATGGCTGGGAGCGGTGAGAGCTCCTCCTCTCAACTAAAATCTCACAAGCCATCCTACTTTCTCCCACCAAAGCAGAGCAAACAGCGGAGAGAGCCCATGTTGAATCCGAAAACCTACGTGCGAAAGCGTATCATATTCGTACAAAAATCCAACTCGAGAAGGAAACAGCCGCTAAGAAACTAGAACACCAGAAGGCTATTGAGGAACAGGAACCGGAGCATTGTAGAGAACTGGCGAAGGCAGAGAGCGACGCCCGAATTGCTGCCATCAGGGAAGGAAAGGCTCCTGCGTCTTCTGCCCCGCTCCTGTTAATATTCATGATGAAGGTGAGATTTCCCCTGGATCCCTTCTGGTTATCGAGAAGTCTCCGGGACTTCCGAGAATCGAGATCAACCGCATCGGCAGAGGCTCTTTCAGACCTATGGATTTACACAAGCTACGACATCTTCAAAGGTTTAGGAGGATGATCTCCAACTTAAGGTATCCGACGAAGAAAAGTTGAATAGGGGCACCACTCGCACACTCAAGGGTTTCGGCGATAACTCAACAGTATAGTGCGAAGGATTTTACAATTACATTACGATAATGTACGGTTTCTTTCACAACGAGAACCCCGATTTGTCCCTCCCTTTGATGGAATTCTTTCGCAGAGTTGTAAAACTATCACGAACTTACAAATGGACTGAAGCAGTATTCCCTCTTGCCATCAACATTCACAACGAGGTTTGCGCTACGAATCCTAATCTTACAGTACGACTGCCTGGACCCTTCCAAATTCATGGGTTGGCCGTTTTTTGAACACCAGACAAAGTTCGTTCCAGAGATAAATCCAACAATGGGAATGACAGGGAGAAGGATAAGAAACACAAACGCTCCGACTCAGACTCCTCCAATCGAGAATCGAACGACAATACGGTCATATGTCGCGCCTTTCAAACGGAGAAGGGTTGTAATCGACCTAACTGCAAGAGGCGTCACGAGAAGGAAGTCAAGAAAGAGAACACTGGGAAGAACCAAGGTTGGGGCAGGAGTAGGCTGCGCAGAAATACTCCGCTACCCGTGGGGACCCGTTGATGATATTTTAGACCCGCGGGCCCCGTTGAGCTTTCAAAATTATCCGCCCCGCAAATACTCTGCAAATTTATTAATTTTCATAATATTAATATAATTAATATAAAGATTAATATAAAAACTAATACATTTTTATAATTATACTAATATTATAAAATCTATATCTGCGGAGTATTTGCGGAGTATTTGCAGCGGATATCTAATGGGTTCCTATTCAGATTTTTTTATTATCCGCTCCGCAAACGGAGGACCTGCGGGGGACCCGCCAGGCCAATAATCTGCCCCGCGGGTACCCGTTGCGCAGCCTAGGCAGGAGGACATTCAAAAGTTCAGGGTTTCGTAGCACAGAATAATTCAAAACTTCTTGCTGACTTCTTTGCTTCTCATAAATGTATTCCTGCTCCAACACAACTAAACACAGAGGTGAAATTTCAATTGTAAAATGTTCAGGATCTATTTTTTATTCTATTCCCTTGTTTCTTCATTTCTATATAGGATACACTGCTATAGCAATATCCTGGTGATTTACATTTCCATTTACTTCATATACTCCGGGGAGGTTGTTATATTAGATACAATGGCCCGGAGGTTCTCCGACTTGCTAATAATCATGACTCTTGCAATTTGGATCCTGGATTCATCTTTTCACTAACTGAGAAATATCTGTCCCTTGGCAGAACCGTCCCGTATCTTCCCCCACCAAACCATTCTTTTGTGCCCCCTTGGGCCTTCGCCGGAAGGGTGATGGTGGGTGGCGCAAGATTCAAGACCAATCTCATCCTCGTGGGAATTTAGTGAACTCCCATATTGACAAGATGGATGTCTCATTCAAGTTCACTACACTACTCCATATCATTAGCCTCATCGTCTCCTCCGGGAGGGGTACAGTCTTGATCAAAAGAGACTAGACTGATGCATTTCGCAAGATCCCCCTTGCGCTCTCCCAACCTTGGCTATCTGGGTTTTGTTGGGAAGAGAAGTACTCTATAGATACAGTTCTGACCTTTGCAGATTGCTCTTGCCCTTTCAGTTTCATTTTCTTCGCGGAGGCCCTAAATTGGATAACCGAATCTTTCCTATACATCCCTTGGAGTTATTACCTTGATGACAAGATCCTTATCCTTCCTCCTGGGAAAAGTCTTGAATATTATAAAGAGAAAGATTCTTCTTATGACGTTTTATGTAATACTTTATGTATTGAGAATAAGCATTCTAACAATGAATTTGATACTCGGATTATAGTACTGGGTCTCATCATAGATATAATTGCTTTCCAAATCGTTGTCTCAGATGCTAAGATAGAGAAAGCTAAATGTTTAGTCTTTCAGGCCTTTTCCTAGAGTTCTATGATCCACAAGGAGGTTGAATCTTTGGTAGGGTTTCTTAGTTTTTTATCTGTCGCTGTACAACTAGGTTGTGTTTTCCTGATTTAGCTATGAGAATATTTATACGGATTTCTATCTCATGATTCTGCAGATAACTTTGTCCGATGTCGCATTCCCGCAGGGGTGCAGGAGGATCTCATTTAGTGAAGGGATCTACTCCCATTATAAAATGGAGTAGCTTAATTCGAGACAGAGCATCGTGAGGTTATTCATCTTCTCTACACTAATACTTGTGAGTCGGGCATGGGTGGATTATTCTTACATGACCCTCACATAGCTCCTCATTGGCTTAGGGATGAAGGTGACAACTTTTTGAACTCATGTGTGCCTCTCATACAGTGTCTGATTGAAAGTGTGCAGAAGGATATCGTACTGTCGGAAATAGTATCCCCTCTGAAATATCGCATTTTTTCCTACCCTTAAAGTTAGGATAGGAGAGGGAGGCAAAAAGTTTTTGGTGACGGGGGAAGGGGATCCTTTTTTTTTTGAGATGATAGATAGTATATATCGAAATGATAGACTCAAAGATATATATAATTGGACAAATAAAATTCATATAGTAAAGATTTTAACCAAACCTTATAATTTTTCTGTTTTAGTGATGTACAATATAGCTGGTATTTTTATTATTCTAAATGCATTTTTAGGCACTCCTTCCTGCTCCTAATAAGAACTTAAGCTATTCCTATCTATTCTTAACCTTATTTTCAACTATTCCTTTCCATTCCTATCCTAAAAGAATTTGATCACTCCTTCCTGTTCCAAATCCTAGACACCAGTGAGTCTATGCCTTCCTACAAGGTAGGATAGGAAAGGAGGGAAATGAAAGATTACTGCTCTCAGCAGTCATCATGTCTAGTTCTTCCAATAGCATAGCTGCTAAGCCAGATGATTCTCGGCCTGGAATGACAGCGGAGGTTATCAAAATTCTAAGCAAATTTAAACCCCAAGCTTTGTGAGTACTTTTATCCTCGAGTCACAAGCCTCTGAAAAGTCTAACGGGATGCATAGAAGCCTGGAAGAGTCTCGTGATCGACATGTTGAAGATAAAGCAGAAAGGTTGAGATTACGATTACTATTAAGGCAGAATGCTGCAGAGGATGAAGAAAAGATCAGATCATTGCAGGAGTTATCCATTCCGAGTCTCAGCTATGGATGGCAGGAGAAAGACAGCAGTGGCTTCCAAGACTTTTTTCTCTCAACAATGGAGGGGCTCATGCTAACTTGGAGCATTACACGTTGGGAATCTCGTAGCGCGATGCCGCCGGGATTTTTCAGTAGCGTTGCTACTTATATGACTCTTGAGTGTCTCCGAAACCGGGAGAGGTTTCCTAACTACCCTATGAGCTCTAGGGTCACTAACTATCAAGTTTATATGAAGTGGAGAAATTTGAAAAGATCGAAGGGTGGAGAGTCAACTATCGATCGACTTTGGGATACGGCGATCAGAATCAAACAGCTATCGAAACCCGAAAATCTATAACTGTTTACGTTTTCACGTACCGGTAAGGTAATATAAGTTTCTTTTTCTTTCTATATCTTCAATCTTCCCTCCCCTTGATGATTACAGTACTAATACACATTCGTCGTCCAGAACACCACCACCACACAATAAATACACCACCCAATATCTCTCAATCTCCATTTACTCCACCTCCACCGCGTCTCACTAATTTACTTCACTCGACACCCACACTTTCATAAGCCGTCACGGAGGACTCTTAAAATCACCGGTTCGATTTCGATTTCTTTTTCAGTTTCAGCAAAGCACTACAGTCACCCATCACTCGTGATCCTACTTTAGTCTTTCAAAGGTCTCTACATCTTTCCTCTGCGCTACTGTCACCCTACAAACTACTTGTTATCTTAGTCTCCAAAAGTCTCTACATCTTTATTTTGCGTTACTGTCACTCTTTTCACTACCTGTCATCTTAGTCTTGAAAATAAAAATTTACACACTGTACCTACTCTTAATGAAATCCAAAAGGGAATCTTGATATTATACTTTGGTGCACTCGAGTCCTTATACTTGGTATGTAAGATGTACAAGTATTGAGCGAAACATGGATATGGTTTGAGAATGTGATGCTGTGATGCTGTGAGTGAGTGCAGATGCTATAATGAGAGTGAGAATGTGAATGTAGATATGTTTGGGAAGGAAGGTAATAAATAAGACCTAAGAAACCCTATTATATAACATCTTCTTCTTCCTCTTTACATCTTAAGTTTGTGTCCACCATGCTCGTGAGGCATGACTATATCGCTTTTCGGAGAATATACGTCTAGACGTCTTGTAGATCTCGCTAGAGCGATATTTCTTTACCTCCATGATGTGACTACTATAGGAATAGATCTAGCTAAATGGGTATCCACTACTATATCTACATTACTCGAAAGAAGATAGTCAATAGGTGGCTAAAAAAGTATATCAAAATAACAATTTGCCTACTAGATACATATATATAATACGAGAATACATCATCCATCCCTTCATACCCCCGCAAATATATCCCCTATCAGTAAACAACCACCATTCTCTCTAAACTAGGGCAAAACATGTTTTTGGAACCACTCCATAATAATGGTCGTAGCATTGAAACTCGCCGGCCCCTCCCCATGCCGAATCAAATCATCATTGAGCACCGTACTCGGCCAATCATGATCCAACCCCCCATCAAAAACATGTTGAACCAATCCCTCCTCCTCCCCCTCTCCATAACTATACACCACCGTATCACTTGTCAAAGGCGTCGTCACATTCTTCAACCCCAAATCATCCCTCAAAGCCCATTCACGCACCCAATGCGGAATAGTCGGTACGCATTGATTGGATCGATTAGCCTGTCCTGCATAATGAATCGTCGAGTCGTCGCCGCCGTGGAATTCCAGCATGGGGATTTTGGGTCGGCCGGAGAAACAGGGAATGCTGATGTTGGATGGGTGGCAGGGTTGAGTGTCGATGTAGAAGGCGCCAGAAACGGGCGCAAATGCGGCGATTTTGGTGGAGAGGATGGGGTCGCAGGCTAGAGTGTTGCAGAATCCTCCGCCGTCGGATTTGCCCGTGGCCCAGATGCGCTTGGGGTCGATGCAATAGGTTGAGTCGAGGCTGTCAATTATATCGCTCACGAGTTGGGTGTCGTTTGCTGTATTTCCGGGATTTCCTTCCCATTTTCCCTGTTGTTGTTAATCTCGGTTTTGCATGGGGAATATGGAATTTACCTTGATTCCTTGGGGGTAAATGGTTATAGAGAAGTTGTTGAAATATGGATCGGAAATTTGGTCGAGTTTGAGTTGTTCCGATGCATTTCGATTACCACCATGAAAAGAAAAAATGACAGGAGTCAGAGATTGGGTTGAATAAAGAGGTGGGACAACAATGAGGTATGATCGAGCGACATCCGAGCTTTTGATTGATATGGTTTTGGGCTGACCTATAGCAATATCAGGAGGCAGAGGCTTGCCGCATCGTGCGAGGTCGACTAGAGCGTTTATAGGACTGCTGAGGAAAGATTGAGCCGTGAAAGCAAATACAGCATTCTTTAAAGAAACCATGATGTATGTAAGTATGAATATGATCAGTTTCAAAATGATGAAGGTTTTCCACTGGTATTTAAGTAGAGAACCTCAATCTCACTCGAGCTTTACGAGCTACTCGAGGTAAGACGCTGAAGTCATCAAGCGCTAGCTTTTGAGCTTCTCTTACAAATCGCTTGACTTGGGTTATAATACTGCAAATCTTCGTTGATTACACAGGTTGATGAGTAAGACACGAACTGCAATACGAATTGAGATACGAACTGACAACTTTAGAATATCGTACTGGAGCTGTTCGTACCTTGAGCAAAATCTGTGGTTTTGGAATGTGCTATCTATTGAAAATGAGCGAGAAGCAGTGAATTCAGTAAAGAATGTAACCGGCTCGATAGGGTCAACATGTTGGAGAGATTACCCACAATTCGATGCACCTCATTTTAGTTACTGTTGATCCCCCCATACTTTTAGACCCCATGTATATTACTCGAGTAGATTCATCGTTTGCCTCCATAGGGAGATGTTGAGGATTTAGCTAAAAGGAGACGAATGTGGGAGATAGAGATAAATCACATCGCGAATACAGGGACAGAGAAGTTATTGCATCTTTCAACAAAAAGAATGAATATAAGACATATAAACAACGAACGATGAGATTACTGTACTGTTGAGTTGGTGATGATGATGTGGATAACTCGAGTAAGACGCCAAGATACTAAGTTTGTGGGGTTTAGGGGTCCACAGCGCCGATCTACAGGCCCACCAGCGCTAGAAATGAATGCCTCTTTTCGTTTGGATCCCCAAAACCACCTTCATCCTTTTTACGGCCATACGACAACATCACCCGACGTTGAACGTCCATCTCTTAACATCAGTTTTCGTTGTAGTTCTCTATCGAATTGAAAGCGAGGTGAATTATCGATGTGAATAAGGCTCATCCTCGCTCGAACAAGGTCTTTCTTCCCATTGATGCTTCGTGACCACATAACTCCGACTCCGATGAGAAAGGTCTCATGTGCGGATGTACTGTTCCATACAGGCTCATCGCACACAAGAAGATACGATACATTACTGCTTCATCCTGGACACTTCCCGTGTACAAATCCTGATCCTCGAGAGCGGCTTGGATTTAGATTGGCCATAGCTAGCTAGGCTCGCTTCAATATCGTTCTGAGAACCCCATCCGTCACATTTTGACAATATCACCTCAAGGTGTAACGGTGTAGATTCATGGGAAGTTTATATATGTCGAGCCAAGTGTCATGAAGTGCAACCCTCCAAGAAAGGGACGACGACTTCCCATGGCTTCCGTTATTACGCGGATAATCGGCATTCCTCCCAAAAGTTGGGTTACAGTACCAAGAAATAAGCGAGTGCGACCGATGACCTTGTTGTATAACAGAAGTTGTTACTGTAGAGGTTGCTCTTAGATTATTAATGCGGCCAAGGCAAGTTCTATGTCGAATCCGCAGTCTGATAATCTTGAAACATGCTATTTCAAGCAATGAAGGATTGTGGCTTTTCTCATGTCGTTATACCATGTGGTTAGTCGTATTTCTCCACGATTTGTCGATCTGGAGAATCTTGTGTCTCTCTTGGCAGGACCCCTAATCTTCCAATAGCCACCATTAATTGCTCAAATTCTTTTATCAGAAGCATCAGATATGATGCCATCATTACACAAGCGGGTATGGCGGTCAAACTTTAGATTAAATGGAAGAAACACTGCAAATGCAGACATTGTGTTGAAATATCATCCAATCAGCTTACTAGTTACGCAAATCAGCTTTACCCCTGATTAGATTGTTCATTTTAAGGGCATCACGTTAAAGGAACATTTGCCCTGTCAGATTCATCTCCTTTACATGTAAACCTCAATACAACATCACCATGAGCCAAGTTCATGACCGAACGGGAGGGATACAAAGACGGGCCTTCTTCAAATCCTTTGCTTGATCTGGTGATTGGTCATAGTGACTACTACAGTGGGAAATTTCACGCTCATGACAATGGAACAGAATGATCATTTGAGGGATGTAGTATCAGCCCGAAAGGAACATACCCATCAATCTCATTACTCATAAAATATCTTATAAGATGCATTGTGCACTTACGATGCATCTCTTCACTATCATCTCAAGTGATTCGTGAGACCTACTTCATTTGACCACGCGCCACTTATTTAGTCCTCACTCTCATTTCCACAATTTCTATACGTTCATTTGTTTGATCTCAGTGAACCTAGAATTGAGGTGTACTCTTTCTCATTTCTTGCTTCATACCTTTCTTGCCAGCGCTCCAATTTGCAATCTGGGACAGTTGTATTTACTCTATTACTTTACCATGTACATTTCAACACTTCTTACTGCCCTTCTGGCCAGCACAGCCAGTGCATGGATGCCAGGTGGTGAAAATGACCTTCGTTCACAAGAAGGTGTCTCTCTCTTCAACCCAGAAGCAAAGCATCCCACCGCACGCCGTTGGACGCCAGCATCCGGCAAGATTCGAGGAGTAAACCTTGGATCTCTCTTCGTCTTTGAGCCATGGATTGCCGATTCTGCATGGTCCGACATGGGTTGTGGAGCATACAAATCCGAATTCGATTGCGTATCCGGTTTGGGACAAGCTAAAGCTAATACCGCCTTCCAAAACCATTGGAAGACTTGGATCAACGCTAACGATATTGCACAAATGGCAAGTTTCGGTCTCAACACCATTAGAATCCCAGTCGGATATTGGATGATGGAAAGTCTGGTGTACGCCGATAGCGAGCACTTTCCTCAAGGAGGTTTCACCTACCTCGAGAGTATCTGCGACGCAGCCGCTAACGCTGGATTCTACATCATAATCGATATGCATGGAGCGCCAGGAGCACAGGTCGCAAATAACCCTTATTCCGGACAATCTGCTTCGACTCCCGGTTTCTACGTCGATTACCAATATACTCGTGGTGCCCAATTTCTCTCTTGGCTCACGACCAATATCCATCAAAACACCGCCTTTAGAAATGTAGGCATGATTGGGCTTGTTAATGAACCGGTGCAAGATGTCGCGCAGGCTGCGAGTATGATTTCTTCTTTCTATCCTGCGGCATATAAAGCGATTCGAGCTGCCGAGGCTGCCGCAGGTGTTAGTGCGAATAACTACTTGCATATTCAGGCTATGGATCAGGCATGGGGATCTGGTGATCCAAATGCTGGATTGGCGGATGGTGTTTCTTTAGCTTGTAAGTTTGATTATTCATTTACTTATTCTTCATCTTCACAATTTCCGCCTGACCCCTAATGCATATGCATATCCAATAACTTTCTAACTCATGCTCTCTCCAGACGACGAACACCGCTACCTTAAATGGTCCTCGATCGCCGTCTCCCAATCCGCATACCTCCAATCTTCCTGCACATACAATCCCATATCTAGCACCGGCGGCCCCACAATCGTAGGCGAATTCTCTCTTTCGCCTCCAGATAACGTGCAGGATACGGCGGGCTGGACAACATCCACTCAAAGCGCCTTCTATAAAAAATGGTTCGAGGCACAGATTATGGGCTATGAAAATCATGCGCTGGGTTGGGTTTTCTGGACCTGGAAGACCCAGTTGAATGATTATCGTTGGAGTTATTTGGATGCGGTGCAGGCGGGCGTTATTCCGAAGGATTTGAATAGTGTGGCGGGGAGTGGGGCTTGTGATGGTTATTAGGGGGGGCTGTGGGGGGATTGTAAGGGGGAATGGAGGAATGGGATATGTTGGGTGTTTTAGGGTTGGAATTGGTCGGTGCTAAGCGGTGTTTATGCTTGCTTCTGAAAAAGGTGCAGAGCATGTATGTATGCGTTGGAAATAGGTTCAAAGGGCTCTGTATATTCTGGAGTCTCAACCTCATTTTAATAATACCAAATTCTCAAAGCTCTCTCATCATTATTTGTAAACCATCTACTTACTCGAGTATATGTACTCCAATAAACCTCACCATATAAATGTTGAATATATTCCTATTCCTTTTCCTCCCCGCTACCATCATATATATAACTACTCCACAACTCAACTTTCACAACTCCCAAACTCCTCATCAAGTTACTTGTAGTTATAGATCAGATATCACATATCACATATCAAAACCCTCCTACTAGTCAAGTTAGTATACACCCTACAAAACTTCAACCCTAAAACCAAGTAAGCCCCTTTTTATTAACTATACTGTATTAGACAGATTAGATCAGATTAGCTCATATTACAATCCTTCATCCTTCATCCTTTGATACTACTCACTCACTCAATTCATTTTGTATTCGTGCCACATCAACACTAGCATTATCATTAGCATCGTTACAATTTTAATTTCTCTATAATTACAAGTATATTTATATATATATTTAAAAACAAAATATAGATTCCGTATCGGATTGAATTGAATTGAAGAGAATTGATTAGCTTCAAGTTAGCTTGGGAATTTGGAATTTGGAATGTGATATTATTAGTAAGTATAACTTATAGTCTGAGAGTAGATTTCTGATCTATTGTTTTTATTTCCGAGTCTTCGAGTATATAATGAGATTACTAGAAGATTAGATTGCTAAATATAATGAGATGAATAATAATATAGTATTAATATAAAAGAAAATAGCCTTAGCCTAGTACTAGATTTCATTCTTCTCCAAGTTCTTCTTCTTTCTCATCCTATTCCTATTCCTATTCCTTCTTCTTGAGATATTTATATATATATATCTACTTCTATTATATCCCATTTCGTTATATTCATCCGATCAAATCAAATTATACTATTATATTAAATCATATTATACTAAACTATATTATATCATCTAATTTTTAGTATTCTATCCCAGCCCATACACATCTACTCATATCATCCATCTAATCCAATTAATCCATCTACTCATATCATCTACTCATCTACTCATCTAACTCATCTAACTCATCTAATCTACACAAACAAACCAAACTAAACCAATAAAATCAACCTCAACTACTTGTACCTTCACAATCATTTCAATTTCCGTTTCCGTTTCCAATTGTAATTCCAATTCGATATTCAACATCTTACAAGTAATAATAAGTCAAACAAATGAATTCCTTTCCACTTGCCACTGCAGTGCACTAGCAGAGGAGTTTGTCTTTGATCTATGCCGTTATGTCAATACTATATACACCGGCTATGTATCAAGAATAGAATAAAAAAGTACTTTTGATTTCGTCTAATCACAGGTAGTCCAATCGTCTAATTTCTCCTTCATCCCCACTCACATCCTGGTATCAAAATACAACCCCCACATCCTTTCACACCCCCCTAACTCTCATAAATCAATTTTCTATCCCCAACCACCCCCCAAAACTCCTCCACAATGCCCTCTTGACCACTTGGGGCCCCTCTAACCGCCAAATACTTCCTCCCATCAACCTCACAATTCCACTCGCCCGGATTGCCCCCCACCATAATCCCGCCCGCCTCAATCAAAATACACCATCCGGCCGCAACATCCCAAGCCCAACAACCCCCCTCCCAAAAAACATCTTGCTGTCCACTCGCCACATGCGCTAAATTTAACGCCGCGCTCCCCAAACACCTTAAGGAATGTACCATCGAGCCTCCATCTTCTTTTGCCGCGGATAACTTTCTGAATACATCGCATTTGAGATCAAAATTATGTCCTGAGCGATCGGAACCCCATTCGGCTGTTACGAGACAGGTACTTAGATCATTTAACGGCTCAGGTTCTTTTTTAAGCGGTAAGCTAAATTTTTCCCCATCTCTCCGTGTTACGAATGAGCCGTGTCCTTTGATGCCAGTGAAGAGATCGCCGGTGAAGGGGTTATATATAATTCCAACGCTGGGAACTTTATCGACGACGAAACCGAGGGAGATGCAGAAGGCGGGGTAGGCGTGGACGAAGTTTGTGGTGCCGTCGATGGGGTCACAGATGAAGGTTGGGGCCGAGGTCAATTTGGTTTCGCCTTGAATGAAGGTCTCTTCGCCGATGAAAGAGTAGGTTGGGTAGGCGGTGGTGAGACGGGTGGAGACCATTGCTTCAACTGCTTTGTCGGTTTCGGTTACGAGGTCGGCGGCTTGATGAGGCGGGATGTTAGGGGTGATTGTATTTGGAAAGATGAATGAAGGGGGTAGAGAGTTTCGTACTGTTCATCTTGGTTCCGGAGCTTAGGTATGAAGGGGTTGCGGACATAATCATACCACCCGCCTCATGAGCAATTTCGATCAAGAGATCGTGGATCTCTTGAAGATTGACTTCAACCATTTTGGAGGTTCGCTAAAAGAATGTCGTATTATTTGGTCTAGGAAGTGGAAGTAATAAAGAATAAACAAAAGGAGAGGCTGTTTATATAATGAATATGTTGAACATGTGAGCCTGTGAGGTGAGCTCCAAAGTGGGGCTGGAGGGGTCGTTTGTACACTTACTTATCTTATCAGCACGTGGGGAACGGTTTGGGCAGGAACTGGTGGGATTGAGTAGATATAAAACTTATAGTACTTCTTTCCATCAATTGCGGTGGAATTAAGGGTAAGAGGAAGCTTTGAGATGTGAGGTTGTCGTTGATGTACATTGGGTTGGATATGTAGAGACGAGGCATCACATAACCGTCGCAGAAGTGATGAATCAACGAGTTAAATGGAGATATGATGGAATGAAGGTCAAAAAAAAGTACTGATATACCAGCCCGTGAGAGCCTTCATTCATCCAGGGACAGGCTAAACGATACTTAGTCTAAATACACTCAATTTATACACAGCTTCATGTAGAGTCCGAGTACCTCAGAAGGGGATTCCCAGCTCTCCGTATTCAGATGATTATTGCTAGGTAACGTGTTGTGAATCGTGGTCTTCCTTCGTCCAATATAAGTACAGCCCGCTGATGATAATCGCAAATCCATTAACCCATAGTACCGTATTGCCATTTATAAATCGTAACCTCCATCGTTTATCCTCCTACATGTTCTCTCTAAACATCGATCTCCTTTCCGAATGATTATCAATATCCTGCGCCTTATGTCCCTTTGCGTTGGAGTCCACTGGTCGAGGACTGACACCTCTCAATTCGTTTGGATCGTCGAAAGGATTGTTCGCTGGTTGTATGCCCATCTCCTCATCATAACGTCTATCGAGCCCGGCCTTTGATCCTCCAACATATGGTTCAGGCTCACGGCTTAAGTTTCTGCCACGAGTAGGACTTGAGAATTCCGCAGGTACCGAACCCGGTGTTACTGCAACTCCCGAATGCCCATCATGTAAACCAAGCTCTCGCTCCTCATAATATCCTCCAGGTCCATAAGCATCTGCTTCTGTCCCTACTCGCGCATCCCAGGCGTCATCAGGATCAAGTGGACCAAAACCTCGATTTGCTGCGCGACCGCGTACGTTGCTGCTCAATGGTTCTTCGTATGCCCCTCCGGCCGATCGATTATTGCGAGTCTTAAATCCATTGACTTTATCCTTCACCCATCCGACCATTCCACCTTGCCCTGACCCTGAGCTACCATATCGATCAGATCCACCGCTGAATGGGTTGTAGGACGATAAAGTGGGTTGTGGTAATCCTAATCGTCGTGCTCGCAAATGTGTGTAGACAATCCAACCCACCCCTCCGATCAGGGCGACGATTAGAACTATGACGAAGAACGCGCCGACACCCGAAATATGTGCCATTATTGAAGATTTTAATGTTTGCCCATACAATATAGATTTATTGTTGATAGTTAATGGTTGTTGAGTCTTCTTTTGAATTGTGGGTTAATAGGCCAACAAGAAATGATAAGGCAAGCGTTTGGTGCAGTAAGTCGAGAACTAACAGAACAAGGAAGAAGCCTGTGAGTCCACAAAGTTAAATTAGACAACAAGTAATCTTTTGATGATTGAAGTATAAGTTTGATGTAAACAGCATATTGTGATGTTGTGAGTTTCTTTGAAATATTTGGCAGATAAGATCTTCAGATTGTCCCTACTGAACAGAAAGAAACACAAGCAACACTGATTCAATCAACCAGTTCATGTTTTAACTTTGGATCACGTGATATTCTTGTCATTGATGGGGTAAATATCCTCAACCGATATTACCCCACCATGCAATACAATCATTTCTGACCCTTCAATGAAATTCTGATGAGATCTTAAAAGTTACAAATCTTTTCAATAAATTGATTTAAATCAATCCTTTCCAAGGGACTTAAGAACCGACCTTTCATTTACTCTCCCCATCAATTTCCGAATACCAATTTGAATTGCCGATTCCGAAGAACGCCTAATGTAGGCCTAATACAACGAATATCTATCATGGAGCTCTACTCGGATATTGAATTATGACCTTTACCACAATCAGTAACGAAGCCCGATACTCTTGATATTATCCACCAACAATGAGACATTGAGTACGTACCATTTTTGGGTAGCTGCTTGATACTATTCCTTTGTAAGAAAAAAACATTCCACTTTCTGAAACACTCAAAGACTCAGAAACCACTATTTTGTAATCTCAAGATCAGATAAGGCGGATCTACTTCCTGGATAACCTGCACGATAATGTGTGTGATGGTTTTTTTCAGGGATAACCTTTTTGCTTGTACATTTTACTGCGTGCCCCATCCACCTTTACCTCCGTACAACAAATGAAAGATCAATATAAGATCTGATAAATGTATTAGAGGGGGGGAAATCATCATTTATCTCTCATTCCGAGGCTCTTTTTCATTCTGTCATATTGAACTCGATCATTTTCCTATTTCTATCTACACTACAGTATCCATCTAATTATCTATTTATTAATTTATTCACGAAAAGCCTTTCCAGATTTTACCAATCAAGATTACCGTCATTCCCGCAAGGAACCAAAAGCTGTACCGATAATACCCCTTGTCAAATAATCAATCATCGAGTCCTTCTACCGGTATCCAATATCCCACTCATCAACTTCCCGCCTACCTAGCTCCAAATTCTTCGCGAAAAGGGTCTCTCCCTCCCGTTCAAGTCTGTGTCTGTGGGGCCTGACAATGTGCAACAATGCCTTGTAGTTGCATATGCCATTCCGCCCACCTAACGTTTCCGCGACAGGCGGTAGAAGAAGAGGATCGGGTGACTCCTCTGACTGTATTATAGAAGGCTCAGGTGTCCCTCTTTCTTCTCTTCAATCCTCCCAGTCAAACATTACTGGCAGGCAACCACCATCAGCTGAACCACTCAACCCCTACAATCAAAATCCGAATCACGATCGATATCATCTAACAAACCAGAACAACGACGAAGACGACGACGAGGAAGAACTCTATCCCGAATCCACCTCTAATCTTCTTAGACGACATATACGAGATTCAAGAGAGAGAGAAGACGATGCCCCACGGCACAACCTAGCAGATGACAATACAAATTCAATTAATATTTTTCAAAGAATAAATAGACTTATGTCCAAGACACCTCTCCTATTACGTTCCGCGCCTGGCTTCGGTACAGGATCATATGGAGCGGCTCCAGTGGGCGCATCGACAGAGAACAGTGAAGATGAGGAGGATCGTCTTGTGAGGAGGGAGAAGAGAAAGAAGAGTTCATCGGCTCTCGGAAACCTGAAGAATTCCAGCAGTGCTGCAACATTCAAATCGACCCGATCGAATTCAGGCCCATCCTCATCTGCGAATGTTGGGACGACTTCACTGATGAGACGCCGTGCAGGAAGTAATACACAAAATGATGGGGCAGACGGGGTGGAGCTTGGGGTTTCACCAATCAAGATCCGTAATACAGACTCGGATTCTCTCTCAACCGATGATGATACGGAGGAGGTCCTACTAGACGAAAACGAAGAGGACGAGGATGGATATTCGATAGATGATGAAGATCCGCCAGACAATTCTCCTTATGCTCAAGTTCGAGCTTCGGTGTCTGCCATCGATAATACAACACTGTCAATCAACACTCCCCGGATGTGGGCTCTTTCCATGCTCTTTGCTATACTTGGTTCTTCAACGAATCTTTTCTTTTCTTTGCGATACCCTAGCGTTTCTATTACACCTGTTATCGCCCTTCTACTTGTACATCCACTTGGATTGATATGGGATGGATTTCTCAAACGACGAGATGACCCCAATGAAGAATTTGTGGATGGTCACCGAAGTCCAGATCGTGAAGGTAATGAGCGTGGTGGAAATCCTGCGACTGGCTTACGGCGATTGAGGTTATGGTTGGCACAAGGGAAATGGAACGAGAAAGAGCATAGTTGTGTCTACATCAGCAGCAATGTTTCTTTTGGGTTTGCCTTTGCAACGGATGTTATTGTTGAACAAACTCAATTTTACAACCAGAAGGTTGGGATCACATATCAACTACTGCTTATTCTTTCTACGCAGATATTGGGATATGCTTTTGCCGGTCTCACTAGACGTTTCTTGGTTCGACCAGGTGGGATGATATGGCCCGGAACATTGATGTCCGCGGCTATGTTCACAACATTGCACAAGGAGGAGAACACAATCGCAAATGGCTGGAAAATCACTCGATGGAAGTTTTTCTTCGTCGTTTGGTTCGGCTCTTTTGTGTTTTACTTCTTGCCTGGTTTGTTGATGCCAGCTTTGAGCTACTTCAGTGTCATTACTTGGTTTGCGCCAAAAAATGTCATTGTTGCCAATCTGTTTGGTGTGGCTTCCGGACTTGGACTCTTTCCGGTAACCTTTGATTGGGCTCAAATTGCATATATTGGGTCACCACTCCTTACTCCATTCTGGGCTGCGATGAACGTCGTTGGGGGACTCGTAATTGTCATGTGGATCCTCGCTCCAATCGCTTACTATAAGAACATCTTCTTCTCCTCTTATATGCCGATTTTATCCTCGTCTGTTTTCGATAACACTGGAAAGATTTATGATGTCAGTAAAATTCTGACATCTGAGTTCCTGTTTGACAAGCAAGCATATGAGAACTATAGTCGCGTGTTCTTACCCATTACTTATGTCCTCAGTTATGGACTTCAATTTGCCGCGCTTGCCTCGCTGTTGACACATACTACATGTTGGCATGGTAGAGATATTTGGAAGCAATGGAAGAGATCTATAAAGGAGGTTGAGGGAGAAGGGAAAACCGCCTATGACCCTGTTCCCGTGTCGAATGGAAATGGGCATAGAAGGGGGGCATCTGCAAACAGCCACAGGCTGAATCTTGAAAGGACCCCTTCATATATGAATGATATTATCAGCCAGGAAGATGTGCATAATAGGCTTATGAGAAGGTACAAGGACGCACCACTCAGTTGGTATCTAATCACATTCGTCTCTATGCTTGCAGTTGGTATGTTTGTCGTGGAATAGTAAGTTCTTGCAAATATTTGCATCACGCATATTATATTGACCCCTTTGACAGTTATCCCGTACATTTACCATGGTATGGTCTACTCCTTGCATTAGGGATCTGCACCGTTCTCTTTATCCCGATCGGAATCGTTATGGCCATTACGAATCAACATAGCAGTATATATCTCATTTGTCAATTGGTCTGTGGTGCAGTTTTCCCTGGCCGTCCTGTCGCAAATATGGTATTCGTCACCTATGGATACATTTCTTCTGCACAAGGGATCAAATTCTCGTCCGATTTAAAGCTTGGGCATTACATGAAGATACCTCCCCGAATCCTATTTTCCGTCCAAATGGCTGCCACAATTGTTTCCTCAATTACACAAATTGGCGTTCTCAATTGGATGTTCGCCAATGTTCCTGGTATCTGCACTCCCCAGGCTATTAATGGATTCGTTTGTCCACTCGCTCGTGTCCATTTCAACGGAAGTATTCTTTGGGGAGTCGTGGGCCCCGGTCAATTTTTCGGCCCTGACGCCACTTATCGGGCCCTCGTATGGTGTTTCCCCATCGGTGCCATTGCGCCCATCATCCTGTGGCTATATTGCCGCGACAAAAAACACAGCATCGTACGAAAGATTAATCTCCCTGTCTTATTTGGCTCTCTATCATGGATTCCCCCGGCTACCGGTCTCAACTTTTCGGTCTGGGCATTGGTCTGCTATCTCTTCAATTATGTTATCAAACGGAAGCATTCGGCCTGGTGGGCCAAGTATACAATGACTCTGAGCGCGGCTTTAGATTCAGGTCTTGCATTTGGACTGGTGGTGGTGTTTTTTGGATTTGTGTATCCGGGATGGATGGAAAACTTCAAGTGGTGGGGAACGGAAATCTATAAACAGGGTTGTGATTGGCAAGCTTGTGCATATAAAAGTGTTCCAGAAGGTAGCCATTTCGGGCCGGATACATGGTAGACAGAGGTTAGAGGAAGAGGCTTGCACATCGGTATTATTTACCGTGTGTTGTGTGTTGAAGAGGGGAAAATGTGGTTTGAAAATTCAAAGCGATGAGATAGGATTCATGGATGGATTTTTAGCTACGTGAGTTATATTGGTTGGTAGATGGTTGTATTGCATGTTTAGGCGTTTTTCTTTTGGCGTTTGAGCGGGAGAGGAGTGGGGAGTAGGGTGAGGACAGCATAATAAGCGTATGGTACCTTAAAGGAATCTCTACTAGAATATGAATATTTAATATGAAAAGGGGGATTGATCTTCGGAATTCTGTATTATGTATTATGTATACTTTGTATGTATGCTTTGTATGAATGAATAAGGAATCAATGAGGAATAAATGATATTTTTACTTTGCTTTGCTTTGAAGCAGGGAAAGGAGGAGAAGTTTCTTGCACAAGGTCTGTAGGAGTGGATGTGTGGATATGTATAATACACAAACGGGAAGTAGCATCGAGCTGTATATTCTTTAATCAAATAGGTTATAGGTGTTGTTACAAACTTTATAGTGTATTAGATAGTATAATTATAATAACGGCCAGATCAGTATACGCATATACTTTTCTCCATACTCCAGTTTAGCCTAGCCCTAGGAAATCAGCAAAATATTCGTAGATTAAATTTTACATATCTTACTGGTATATATTAGTAGCTCTACTCGTAAGTCACTAATCTAACTTGTTCCTCTGAAAATGGAGACTCGCTAGGCTCAATCGACAAGCAACTAGGGCCTAACTCAAACCTATTTTGGGGGAGGAGCGGAATAGCTGTAAGCGAGAATGAGGATGAGATATTAGAGATTGGAGGGCTAGGAACTCGAGGGATGTGGATTCTAGACTTCTTCGTGACAATTATTGAACTATTATTAGGTATTAGGTCTCGGTATTTATAGAATTCGGGGATATATGCTAGAGTAGATTATACTTGTACTTGTATACTTCTTATATATTGTGATCAAAAGGGTATAAACAGGACTCCGATTGTGTACTTAGAATCTACAAGTGAAGAATTATGTAGGGTGCTAAAAGAAGGACTATATATACAGGTATTTGGGAGCCATAAGGGCTAGTCCCAGAAGAGTGAAAGATTCCTAGAGATAAGCATCGTACGATGCCTAGGTCTAGTGCTATAGAGCTAGGGCTCTAAGCTGTGAAAGGAAGGTCCAAGAGAGCCATCGTATCATGCTACATATGTAGTATGAGCCAGTGGGCGGAAGAGAGCCGTCTGTTCCGTCACATATATTGTCAACGCGTAGAGACTAATCCCCTTCCAGGGACTAGCCGGAAAAGCGTGGATGTGAAAGGATACGGAGTATCCTTTCATATCCTTTGTTCTTTATTAGTTAGTTCGTACTGAAATCTATAAAGAACTACCCTCATACCACCC